AATGACAAGCTAATGTGAACAGAACATATCAGGTGTAATATTGTTCGTGGGAGATCAGAAAGGAATGACAAGCAATATTGTATATTTAACAACAGCAACGATATTCTTATGGCTTTGACAACCTGAATAGAAAGATAAGCAACGTCGAGTCTGGTCACTATATAGATGGGTGACCGCTTGGGACTACCAAGTGCTGTAAGCTTGGATATGCGGGTAGTATAATGGCTCGGAGAACCGAGTTCCAATTCTAGTCGGGTTCGTTATATTTACTTACGCTTGGGAAAGGCATGAATCCACCCATTCTCCCTCCAGCTATGGGTTAATTAGTAAGACTTGTATCAGTAAAACTATTATTAACTCTCCCTAAAAAAAATAAGATTGCGTACAAAATATTTAGATTTCGGCATTAAATATGATATGCTGCAAAACAAAACCAACCAACCAATATAAAAAGAAGCACATGAAGGCGTTTCTATGTAGGTTTACTTTTAAGTATGTACATTTGAGCAAAATAATATAAAGCATGTTTCTAAATTTACATTTAAGAAGAGTTCCTTTTTGGTTTGGTCAAATGAGGTAAGTTTGTATACAGTCAAGGAATCCTCAGGGACTGTATGTAGTAGAGCTTTGTGTTGTGTTCAATGTTACATTAGGTTTGCTAGCGGAGAAAACAATACTTTTACAAGTGGGGAAACGAGACACGTCCTATATCTAACGCATGCTGTGGCTAAAAGAGGCAAAAAAGAAACATGGCGCCTTTTTCTTCGAAATTACATTTTGGCAACATTATTAAGTGGTCGTTAGAGGAAGTTCTTCGCTAAACAAGTGGGGTAATTTCAATTAGTCATCATTCAAAAGCTCTTAGTAATTTTGCACGCAATGTGCGCGTTCTTTTTATGATGCCCCTAACATTTCTGTTGATCGTCTTTTCTTCGGTGTACATCAGTCGAAAACGATACATTTTATATGCTCTACTAATCAATATAATATCTTAGACCAATCCTCAATATATCGTTATGTGACTTGAATGATATCGCATCGCATTCATATACTTACTAATCAAGAAAGTACAGGTTGAAATACTAACGCACACCTCATGCCTACAAATAGTTTTAAAGAGTAACTTTCTGACAATGATTCTTGCTTTTTAATTAAGCCACATTCACACAAAGAAATGCCGAAAAATAAGTTAGAAGGTACATTGCTCTTCTGCCGCAAACTATTCTTGAATTTATTATGAAAATACATTAGAAAGTGATTTTATTAGGAAAATACATTGGAAAGGGATTTCAATATGAAAATGCATGGGAAGGTGATTTTGCTATGAAAATGTATAGGAAAGGGATTTTACTATGAAAAAGCATAGGAAAGGGATTTTATTGTGAAAATACATTGGAAAGGGATTTTATTATGAAAATGATCTGGAATAGGATATTAATATGAAAATCCATAGGAAATGGATTTTATTATTAAAATGCATTTGAAAGGGATGTTAATCTGAAAATGCATTGGAATGGGATTTTATTATGAAAATACATTTGCAGGGGATTTTAATATGAAAATGCATAGGAAAGGGATTTTATTATGAAAATACATTGGAAAGGGATTTTATTATGAAAATGCATCGGAAAGGGATTTTATTATGAAAATACATGGGAAAGGGGTTTTACTATGAAAATGCATTCGAAAGCGATTTTTATTATGAAAATACATTGGAAGATGATTTTGCTATGAAAATGCATAGAAAAGGAATTTTAATATTAAAATGCATTTGGAAAAGCATTTTATTATGAAAATACACTGGAAGGGGATTTTAATATGAAAATGCATAGGAAATGGATTTTATTATGAAAATGCATTGGAAAGTGATTTTGCTATGAAAATGCATAGGAAAGGGATTTTATTATGAAATCCATTGGAAAGGGATTTTATTATGAAAATCCATTGGAAAGGGATTTTATTATGAAAATGCATTGGAAAGGGATTTTATTATGAAAATACATTGGAAAGGGATTTTACTATGAAAATGCATTCGAAAGTGATTTGTCTATGAAAATGCATAGGAAAGGGATTTTATTATGAAATGCATTAGAAAGGGATTTTATTATGAAAATGCATTGGAAAGGGATTTTATGAAAATGCATTGAAAACTATGAAAATGCATTGGAAGGGGATTTTGCAATGAAAATACATAGGCAAGGGATTTCAATATGAAAATACATTGAAAATGGATTTTATTATGAAAATGCAATCGAAAGTGATTTTATTATGAAATCCATTGGAAAGGGATTTTATTATGAAAATACATTGGAAAGGGATTTTACTATGAAAATGCATAGGAAAGGAAATTTATTATGAAAATGCATTGGAAAGGGATTTTATTATGAAAATGCATTGGAAAGGGATTTTATTATTGTTGAAAGCTTGAATAAGGATTTTAATAATAATAATACAACGCAAAATGGACGTAAACAAAATGTATTGAAACAAGGAAAAGGTACACAATATTTACAGTTAGTTTTGGTATATTCTTGGGAAGACTGTTCCTGTAGAATGGGTTGACTTAATCGCAGTCGGGCAGAGTCTCTGGATTGGATCTCTTCTTCCTCCCCCGTCTTCCCGGTACCAACCCATATTTATATGGTCGGTACTCCAACTATGTAAATTAGGTGGATCCTACCACAATAATTATGAAAATGCATTCGAAAGTGATTTTGCTATGAAAATGCATAGGAAAGGGATTTTAATATGAAAATGCATTGGAAAGGGATTTTATTATGAAAATACATTGGAAAGTGATTTTGCTATGAAAATGCATACGAAAGGGATTTCAATATGAAAATACATCGGAAAGGGATTTCATTATGAAAATGCACTGGAAAGGGATTTTGATATGAAAATGCATAGGAAAGGGATTTTATTATTAAAATGCATTTGAAAGGGATCTTAATCTGAAAATGCATCGGAAAGGGATTTTATTATGAAAATGCATGGGAAAGGGATTTTTTTATGTAAATGCATTGGAAGAGGATTTTGCTATGAAAATGCTTAGGAAAGGGATTTCAATATGAAAATACATTGGAAAGGGATTTTATTATGAAAATACATTGGAAGAGGATTTTAATATGAAAATGCATAGGAAAATGCACTGGAAGGGGATTTTAATATGAAAATGCATAGGAAAGGGATTTTATTATTAAAATGCCTTTGAAAGGGATGTTAATCTGAAAATGGATTGGAAGGGGATTTTGCTATTAAAACGCAGAGGAAAGGGATTTTATTATGAAAATGCATAGGAAAGGTATTTTATTATGAAAATGCATTGGAAAGGGATTTTATTTTGAAAATACATTGGAAAGGGATTTTAATATGAAAATGCAATCGAAAGTGATTTTGCTATGAAAATACATAGGAAATGGATTTTATTATGAAAATGCATTGGAAAGGGATTTTATTATGAAAATACATTGGAAAGGGATTTTACTATGAAAATGCATTCGAAAGTGATTTTGCTATGAAAATGCATAGGAAAGGGATTTTTTATAAAAATACATTGCCAGGGGATTTTATAATGAAAATGCATTTGAAAGTGGTTTTGCTATGAAAATGCATTGGAAAGGGATTTTATTATGAAAATGCATTGGAAAGGGATTTTATTATGAAAATGCATTGGAAAGGGATTTTACTATGAAAATGCATTCGAAAGTGATTTTGCTATGAAAATGCATAGGAAAGGAAATTTATTATGAAAATGCATTGGAAAGGGATTTTATTAAAAAAATGTATTAAAAGGGATTTTGCTATGAAAATGCATAGGAAAGGGATTTTATTATGAAAATGCATTGAAAGGATTTTATTATGAAAATGCATTGAAAAGGATTTTACTATGAAAATGCATTCGAAAGTGATTTTGCTATGAAAATGCATAGGAAAGGAAATTTATTATGAAAATGCATTGGAAAGGGATTTTATTAAAAAATGTATTATAAGGGGATTTTGCTATGAAAATGCATAGGAAAGGGATTTTATTATGAAAATGCATTGGAAAGGGATTTTATTATGAAAATGCATTGGAAAGGGATTTTATTATGAAAATGCATTTGGAAAAGCATTTTATTATGAAAATACACTGGAAAGTGATTTTACTATGAAAATGCATTCGAAAGTGATTTTGCTATGAAAATGCATAGGAAAGAGATTTTATTATGAAAATGCACTGGACGGGGATTTTCTTATGAAAATGCATAGGAAAGCGATTTTATTATGAAAATGCATTGGAAGGTGATTTTGCTATGAAAATGCACAGGAAAGGGATTTTATTATGAAAATGAATTGGAAACGGTTTTTATTATGAAAATGCATTGGAAATTAATTTTACTATGAAAATGCATTGGAAAGGGATTTTACAATGGAAATCCATTGGAAAGTGATTTTACTATGTAAATGCATTGGGTATTTCTTTTATGTTAGGCTATTTGAATTCATGACATGCTGAACCATTTTATTTTTTAATGTTAAATTTTTTATGGGCCATGCAGTAAACATCGAACTTAATAGTAACGTTCGAATAGACTTTACCCTCGCCGGGTAACCCTTCCGGTTATCGTCGTCGGAATCGTCGCACGTTTAAAAAATATTTGGATTGGGAGAAACTAAGGGTAAGTAGAAAATGAGTTGGACATTTTGAACAACAGCATATGATAATTGGTTTGTTCTTTTTTGTTTCGTATTTAGGTATCCTGTTTATTTACGATTTAGACGGAGAGGCCTGGATAAATTACTGGATAGAAATACTCACAGGACCTGAATATTCGATTCCATGCACTTCAGTTCTTTGGTCTAAACTTTCTGAAGATTTAACATCATGCCATACTGTCCATATCCTTTTTCTGACACCTGATATGGAATGTCATATTTACGACATTGAACACTCAATTCTGAATTATTCGTCTCAGACATCTTTACTCCTGGAGTGCAATGTTGATTCCAGTCGTCTTGACATGATCAATTGGGCCGTCAAACAAAAATTAGAAGATGATATCGAAAGCCAGCGGGTCTTACTAAGCACAATCGTTCAGTTGTACGAAACTGCTGTCAATGATGCCATCTATGACCACGTCGTTCCTGATGTGAATATTATACCATCTACGATTTTCCCGGTAAGTATTAACCCACATCACATTCTCGTCATGAAGTCAGCCAAGACATAGAGTTAGCTCGTGATTTTAATTAAGTATATTATTGTATACTAGAGTACTTGACAAGAAGAACATCAAGTGTTAGAAAGTTTTCAAGTGTTATGAAGTGTTATTAAGTTATAGAAAGTAAGATGAAATGAAACAAAGTTTTGAAAAAATGAATTCAGACTCAATAAAGCGGATGTAAAGAATTTACAACTAAAATAGAATCCAATCAAACGTTTAATTAATCCTCCCCCTTTATATTTTTTAAGCATTAAATGCTATCTACGATTCATTGATTATTCCTGATCTCTAACTATAAAAGCAGGATGTGTGTGTGTGTGTGTGTGTGTAACGAATGCACGGCCGCAATTTTCGGCGGACCAAAATTTACATGCACATGCTCCAAGTTAGTGGGAAGGCCAAGACTGACTTTGCATTTCCCAACTCCCATCGATAGTGGAAATAATCGATTTTTTTTCAAGCTTCTACGGCACTTTTCATGTAGTTTGCGATCATTTTGTACTGGCCAGAGTGAGAGCTAATAGCTGGCTGCCACAAATAGGCAGGAAGATTCTATTGGCCAGCGGGAGAGCCAACAGATGACTGACACAAATGTTAAATAACATTCTCGCATGTAAAAAAATCTATAGCTGCATTCGTCACAAGTGGGGAAAATTTAAATCTGCATGGCACTTTACTCCAATTGGTTCATTCGCTTGCTTAAACTCAACGTTGATTCTGATTCCGCAGAACTGGGTTTGGTGTGAAAAAGTATTTGTTGTTAACATTCTTTTTTCATTCGGTTTTTCCAGTTACGAGTCCGTTTTAAAGTTGATCGTTTTGTGTTCATTTTGTTTAGTTTCTTTTTCGTAACAGATTTAATGTTTAGTATAGAGCTTAGAAAATATTCGCAGTGTGAGATAGGCAAGAAGTAAGGCATGTAGCAACATCAGCACGGAAAAGGGCAGTCCTTTAAAGGCAAAGAAGGGCAAAAATATTTTAAGTCAAATGATAGCGATTGCTGTATGAGTCGTACGATTTTTGAATCAAGCACGTGAAACGCCGGGCCATGATGCTATTATTATATAAATCTCTTTATGCTCAATATAGTTTCATATTAAAACATTTATGTGTTTAACATTAATTAATCCTCTCCCTTTATATTTTTTAAGCATTAAATGGTATCTACGATTCATTGATTACTCCTGATATTATATAAATCTCTTTATGCTCAAAATCGTTTCATATTAAAACACTTATATGTTTAATATAACATTGAAATAGAAATATCTATCGTAAGAAAAATATTAGCCACAGAACGACAAAGACGACGACCACAAAGCCTATTTCTAGCGCTTGTTGAAACAAGTTGATCACTTTATAAACAAAGATATCTGACTGCCTCACATGAAAAGCTTGAACTAATGAGACTGCAATGCAAGAAACAGCGGTATAAAGGAACTGATTAATTAAAAGGTTCATTTTGCATGTGAAAGTAATTTTGAATAAATGCGGATAAATATTTTATTTGTATAGATTGTGAAAATGGCAAAGAGGAGCAATCACTCATAAATTTATCAACTTAAGTCGATTTACCTCTCTCCCTAGTAAGATGGGAGGGGAAATATGTAAATAAATACACCGGAAATATATAAATAATGTACATTGATAATAATAATAATAATAATAATAATAATAATAATAATAAACAATTATTATTATTATTATTATTATTAATAATGATGATGGCAATAGTTAGAAAGTTTTAATAGTGGGATGCAACGTAAAAAAGGTCATGAAACAATGTCTTGAGATTCAATAAAACAGAGATAAAGAATTCACAATTAATATATCTTATATAAAAGATAATTTTTTATTTAATTTAATTTAATTATGAATACTTTATATAATTATACAATATACACGATATAATATATAATAATATATCTTATATAAAAGATAAAGATATTTTATTTAATTGTGAATACTTTATATAATTATATATAATTCTCTCTATATTTTTAGACATTAAATGGTATCTATGATTCATTGTGATATTATATAAATCTTTTTATGCTCAATATCGTTTCATGTTAAAACATTAATTTGTTTAATATAACATTAATTAATCCGCTTCTTTTATATTTTTTAGGCATTAAATTGTATGTACTATTTATTGATTAACCTTGGTATTATATAAATCGCTTTTTACTGCGTATCTTTGTATGTTATTTTTTTAATCATTTCACCCAGGGGAAATAATAAAGCCGCTACGACGCAAGGAGGTTACTGAGTGTGAAATTAAAAAAAAAAAAAAGAAGCATCGGAGTCAAGAAGACAAAAGACAACGATTGACAGCATTTATATTTTTGAAGATCAATTTTGACTGTGTGAAAATCCATAATAAAGTTCGAAATAATAATAATTGTAATGGCCTGACGATTGTGTTTAGCATGAGTGTCGCCTTTGGGCTTTGACTTCAATGCTCATATTTATATTTACATACGCTTTATCTCTGATATTGAACACTTTAGTCCATAAATATATCTTAAAAAACAATATTTTATCATATATATATATATATATGGTTAAATTCCCAGATGAATTCTGTGGACAAACAAATTGGTATCAAATGACAATTGGAAAAAAAATACATTTTGCCGACGCGTTTCGTCTTCCGACTTTTTCAAGGCAAAAAAAATCGAAATGTTTTGCCTTGAAAACCTCGGAAGACGAAACGCGTCGGCAAAATGTTTGATTTTTTTTCCAATTGTCATTTGATACCAATCTGTCTTGTCCACAGAATTCATCTGGGAATTTAACTATATTGTCGACATGGAAAAAGAAAAAAAAAAATAATCCCTTACTATAAAGGTAATTTACATTAACCAGAAAAAAGGCTTAAACACAAGCGTCTATCTTTTTAATTTTGAATTTTAATGTAACTATAACAACAAAAACATTTCGATTTCATTTTGCCTTGAAAAAGTCGGAAGACGAAACGCGTCAAACAAATGTATGATTTTTTCCAATTGTCATTTGATACCATATATATATATATATATATATATATATATATATATATATATATATATATATTTAGGTAAAAAACCGTGGGTACGTAATCAAGTAGATGCTAATAATATAAAATATATATTTGCTTTTTTTATTTTATTAATATCTACATGTTAATTGCTCTGATATTCTTCATTGTTTAAAATCTCGATTGTACTAATTTAAGGTTTCATCATTTTACGGTTGAAATTGCAAGATATTACCATAAATTCTAAGCTGATAGTTTCTTCTTTCGCACTTCTCTCTTGTGGATCTCTCTTTCGTATACCAGCTCTCCTATCAATTACGACCTTCAACAATGTAGACGTAACATAAAGCGTCGTCCTCTTTCTCCATAAAATCCCGTTCTTTTATTGTCTTCTTTCCTCAATTATGTTTACACAGGTCAACAACAAAAATTTTTTAAAATGCACCAAACATCTAATTTTAGGGCGTTGAATCTTTTTCTTGGTTAGCTATCGTTTTTGCTGTACAAAAATGCCTCATTTTTGGGGAAAAAAAAGCATTTTTTTTCATTTGTCTTCTGTATATGTGATACTGAGCGATGGCAATATTTCTCAAAATAAAATCGTAGAAACCTCTCAATGGGTATTTAATCCAACATATATTGTCTGCTTATTGGGAAATACTATTTTTGCAATAATAATCAAACCCTAACTTTTTAAAAATAACACGATTGAATATAAGACCAACAAATATTTTCATTAAATCATTTAATAAACTAACAGCAGAAATAAAACCTTCGTGAATATAACAACTTTGGTAAAATTTTAACTTTCTTAATTGTCTGTCATGTTTCACTGTTAAGTCTCTTTTGATACTCCAGCAGTATCATGTACAATGAAATAGGTGCATTCAATTGGGATGTCTTTAGTTCGAGTTTCTTTCCAACTGTGAAAACAAAATGCTCTCAATGTACTTGGTTTCCTTCCGTAGTGTGGGATAAATTTATGAATATCAAACAGATTTTAGGGTTTCATTTTTTGATGTCACCTTAATTATCAGGTTTGCTAAAGTGTATTACTAATAACGTTTATCAGTTAATTTGAATTTTGGCGATAAATTGGAAAGCTTCGTTACTTGTATTTTAAAATCTTTGACTCAAAAACACTTTTTTTTTATAAAGATTATTTTATTTCAGGTGGCTGATATAAGTTGCTCGGCCTACCTGAAAACTTATAGGTTTCCACGACCTTTATTAACTACATTTTGCGATCATCCAAGATGGTAAATTGATCTTTTTTTGCAAAAATGAGCAATTTCAGTAAAGCAAAAATGGTAGCTAGCCATGAAAAACTAGGGCCATTTTCTAAAATCAGCACCATCAAATTAGCCAAAAAATGTGTTTTGTTTCTTAGCACCCAAAATTGTGTTGATCAGTGTTATTTATCTCTGCGCCGCCATGCTACGGACATTGTAGTGAACCATCCTCCTTCCCTTCGTATTCTATTGGTGAGATGTAAGTTCCACTCGAGCAGCTTCTTCCTACTGTGTAGAACTGGCTCCCAAATGGATGCTCTCGCGATCACTACCATCTTAACTTATTGAAGTCTAGGTCAACCATTACATTCACCACATATCTCTATAAACTGTGCCTCTTACTCTGAACCCCCCACCGTCAAATACATTGTAAAAAATTAAAAAGTAGTAATTTTTTGCGTGTTAGTAGCTTTATTACCTTGCTTGGAGTTAAATGATAATTTTTTTTTTTCTCAAAAAATGTTTATTTGAATTTTTTTTAAATATTTTTTTTCATGGAATATTTGAATTGAAAAATATGTTATCTTTTTTTTTTTTAGGGACAAGAAGAAGTTTATATTATCTTCAGTAAAGATCCAAATAGTGAGATCATTGTCAAATTGGCTGGCGAAAAACTTAGAACAAGAAAATGTTCTGACCGTATCTATGCATGTGACTTGCCCAGTAAGTAATTGTTTACTTATTTACTGAATCAGCGAGGCGCAAGGGTTTTAAAGACAGAGCGCATTATTATTATTATTATTATTATTATTATTATTATTATCATCATCATTCGATTTCTGCTATGGACACACTACCTACCAAGTCTGCGGAAAGACCTAAGGCAGGTCGTGGTGTGTTGTTATGGCCACATTTCATTTTAATTTTTTTTTTTTTTTTTTTTTTATCTCCGATGAAGTTGCTAGCGTTACATAGACAAAGTTCTCCTTAGTGTGTGTGCTGTACTTAATAAGACAATTTTCTGTATGTCTCTTAAGCTGGGGTTTCATGGGATTCTTTCAATGTGTTGTTTTGTTCCATTTTTTATAATTCCAAGTGCACCTATTACCACTGGTATTATTCTTGTTTTCAATTTCCACATTTTTTCTATTTCAATTTCCAGGTCTTTGTATTTTGATAGTTTTCAAATTCCTTGGTTGCTATGTTACAATCCGCTGGACAAGCCATATCAATTAGTAGGCAAGTTTTTTTTCTTTCTGGTTTTTGACAATAATGTCCGGCCTATTTGCTTCAATTTTTCTGTCTGTGTGGATGGTATAATCCCATAGAATGGTGACATCTTCTATTTCTGTAACCAACGCTGGCCGATGTTCATACCAGTGTTTGCTTACACATTTTCAAAGTGTTTGCACATTGTCCAGTGTAAATTGCCCCCCCTCTATCGTGACGATTTTTATATTCATTTGGGGCAAGTATAGAACATCCTGAGATTAGATGGTCTATTGTTTCTTGGTATTTGTCACAGAACCTGCATTTTGGATCCACATTATTATATGATATTTGCCTGAAAATTCCTAGTGAAAAGACTCTGGTCTTGCGCTGCAAGAATAAAGCCTTCAGTTTCAGACTTTAATCCAGATGCTCGTAACCATCGATGAGTATTAACTTTATCAACATTGGGTTTATTTGCACGTTCTGGATATTGGCCATGCAGAGGTTTGTCTTGCCAGCGTTGTTTCATCTGTTCAAGGGCTTTATCCTTGGCTTTCTTTTTCATATCTTTTGCTGCAATAGTTGGTTCTTGGCTTCTGTTTTGATTTACTACAGAATCTACTAAATGTAAATGTTGTTTGTATTTACTGCCTTCTTTTATTATTGAATATTTTTTCTTTCTGTTTTCATGTTGTTTCACTAATTTTATCATCCAGTCATTTGTTGTTTCCATGTAAGTTAGTAAGCCAATAGTTGTTGTCTTGTATGACAATTCTAGCTGAATAAGACCTCTTCCACCTTCTTTTAAAGGGTATGTATAGACGGTCTACATCAGCCTTTGGATGATGCATCTTATACTAGAAAGAAGCTTTCTTGTTTTAGAATCCATTTGTCTGATGTCATTTAGAGTCCAGTTCAAGATGTTGAAACTATATTGGACCACTGGGATGGCAAGGTTATTAATGGCCATAATTCTGTTCTGAGAATTCAATTCAGTTTTTAATACCAGTCGTACCCTTCTATAGTACTCTTTACGCACTATTTCTTTCATTTTCTTATGGTGAATTCCTTCACTCTCATTTACACCTAGGTACTTATAAGCTTCTCCTTGTTCTAAATCTTTTATTGTTACAGCAGGGTCTAAACTAATAGAGGAAGTTTGTTGTATATCCTCGTAAAACTGTAGCTTTAGCACATTTATCCAAATTGAATTTCATTCCAATGTCTTCACTGAAGCATTTTTTTACAGTTTGCAGAAGACCTTCCAGCTCATTGTCATTCCTAGCATACAATTTTTTTATTTTTTTAAGTCATCCATGTAAAATAGATGGTTTATTTTCTTTTGAGCTATTTTTGTAACCGCATTCTGTCTTGTTAAGTTGGCTGGTTAATGCTATAAGTGATATGCAAAATAATAAAGGAGACAAAGAGTCACCTTGAAATATTCCTCTATTGATGTTTATTTCGCCAGACTTATAGGTTCCATTTTTATGATTGAGGTAAAAGTGTAGTTTTCCATATCGACATACATTGTTTGATGAAATTGATGATAACGGGTGATACCTTGTACATACTTAAAGACTTTAAGATCCAGGAATGTGGTACACTATCAGATAATTACGATAATCTATCCAGGCAATACTAAGATTTTTTTTTTCCACGGAAGCAGTTTTCCAGGATCATCCTATTAATAAGTAATTGGTCTTTACATCCGTAGCAGCCTCGTTTGCACCCTTTTTGTTCAAGTGGTAGTATGTCATTTCTTTCCAAGAAGAAATATGTCTGTTTTGTTAAAATAGATGTTAACAGTTTGTATGTTGTTGGAAGACATGTAATTGGTCTATAGTTTTTCGGAATATTTGTGTCACTATTTTTGGGTAGAAGAAAGGTAACTCCTTTGGTCATCCATGCAGGAATTTTGGGTAGTTGGATCGGTAACCATTTCTTGAAGTTCTTTGGCGAGTTTTTTGTGTGCTGTATTTAAATAATATAGCCAGAAGTTAGAATTTTATCTATTCCTGGAGATTTCCAGTTGTGTGCTTTTTTCAACATTTAACATCTTCTTCTGTGATTCCGCCCATGTCTGTTCTGGTTTATTTTCATTCGTTCTAACTCTTGCGCAATCCAATCTGCCTCTTCGTTGTGTTCTTTAGGGCAAGCCCATATTTTTCCCCAGAACTGTATAACTTCTTCCATTTTAGGGGGACTGTCACTTCAATTCTTTGTTTACCTATTTCCCTGTAAAATTTCTTTGCATCGGTTTGAAAGATCTTGTTCTGTCTATAGAATCTTGATCTTTTCTCGTAGCGTCTTATTCTTTGAGCCTTCAGTTGTATTGTTTGCTTTATTTTTTCTTTTTAGTTGATAGGACTTCATTTTCATTCCTGATATTGTATTTTCTTTTCGACTCTTCTGCCTTTTCTAGTTCTTACATTTACTCCTCTTGCTAGTTCATCAGTACTGATAATTCACTTCTAAGGTGTTCAATTTCTTTTTTTATTTTTCTTTTTTCAAGGTGGATCTTCATGTCTGTGAGACTGCCTTTTTTTTACTTTTGATGTTCAGTTTATTTGTTGCTGCTATTGCTGATGCATATATTGCTTCATTGAATTTATATGAAATGTCTTCTTCATCCAGAATCAATTTGAGTGCTGCATTATAGAGCTTAATAGTTTTGAGGTTATGCTTTGTTGGTTGTAATTTTGGGAGTTGTTCTCGTTCCTCCATTGCAATATTCTGTATCTACTTATATGGCTCATGATTTCATCCTTGGCTTCTTGTATATTAATCTTGTTTTCTGTGAAATAATTCTGTTCGATGAATTTTGAACTCGTTTTATTACCGTCTTGTGACTGACTAAGATCATACCTTTCCAACATTTCTAAATTTTCAGCATTATCTTCACAGTGATTTGTGTGTATTTCGGTTTTTTCATTATGACCTGAGGCTTGTGTGATGTTACTACTTTTTTTCCCGATTCCGGTTCCTTTTCATGTTTTGTTGGTTCATCTATTCTTGTTGCAATTCTTTTTATTTCATTAATTTCAGCCTCTGTCAATCGGTTATTTCTATGATGTCCCTTCTTACATTGGCTAGTTTATTTTTGTCTATGTACTTTCTAATTGTTTGCTAACCTTCTCTCGCCAAATGTCATATGTTTGGCGAGTGATGTTTTTCTGAGGTTTGAGTAACGCTTCATGGAATGCAGTCATAACAACTTTGTACTCCTCACGAGACCATTTTATTTTTCTTTCCTTAAATTTACGGTTATGGATCTAGCTGGAGAATTTAAAAGACCATCATTAGGATTATCCTGGTTGTGGGGACCTGAAGATTCATTCTTTGTGTAGGAGTTTTTTTCCTATGGCAGATTTTTTTTGACCTCAGGTAGGTTCCCTCCTGAAGGACGGGCTCCCTGTTTATCCACTGGAAGAGCCATACTGGACGTTTTGTTTCTATTTTTTAATTTTCATATTAATCCCACGAGTGACGCACGGGTCCAAAGTCCACCCAAAGTTGCCCGGCACGTTGAGTAACGGTCTTTTACAGACAGGGTTCCGAAGCCTGTAGGGGATCGTTCGCGACCTCCTAACGCAGTAGCCATTCATCCTCGGCACGATTAACACCTTGAGTTGCGGGTTGTTGTTCGGAGTTTTCCTTCTCCTAAATGGGTTGCAAGCAACAATAGACAGAGACACGATTGAAAAAATTATTATTATTATTATTATTATTATTATTATTATTGTTATTATTATTATTCTTTTGATTTCTGTTCCTTCAGGTTCCCAAGCATAGTCCTAGGTCAGAAATGACTTTATGACATTTTTCACATTATTTTTGTTAAAGAAAAATAAAAATGGATCATAGACATTTTACATAGATAAAGGTTTTCGTAATGTGTGAGCTGTATTTTTGAGTACATCTTTTTTAAAGTTATTGTCTACCAGGAATCCCTTCAATAAATCCATCAGAACTTTTCCAATTATTATTATTTTTATTATTTTTATTTTCTTTGATTTCTGGCATTTACACATTTCTTTCCGGGTCCCACCCAGGGACCTAAGGTTAGAAATGGCGTCATGACACTTTCCACTGACAAACAAAAAAAAAAAAAAAAAAGAATTGAATTACATAGATAAAGCCCTTCGTAAGGTGTGGGCTTTAATTTTTCAGAACAACTATTATTATTATTATTATTATTATTATTATTATTATTATTGTATTTTGCTTGTACTTTGCGTAGTATTAATTGTCCCCAAGTCTCAACCAGAGACTTTAAGAAACATTTTACATAGATAAAGCCCTTCGTATAATGTAAACTACTTGTGAGAACATTTTTTAAATTACTTTAAGACTTAGGCTATCAAGGATTCATTCAATGAGGCTATGGGAACCTTTTCCAATCAAACCGAGGGATCCAATTGGAATTTTTGATGGCCTTATGTGCCCTATTTTTGAGATTTTCATTTTAATGCCCTTATATTTTGATAGTTGCTTTTGAAGATTTTCAAAGATACCTTACAGTTTGCAGGGACTGCCATGTCAATAAGAAAACACATTCTGTTTTTTCAGTATTTGGTTACGATGTCTGGGGCAATTACCTTTGATTGTTCTGTCTGTGTGTATTGTAAAGTCCCATATAAGTTTTACAGTTCCTATCTCTGTTACCGGGTTTGTGTGATGTTCATACAAGTTTCTTCCAATTTTCCCTACCCACAAAAGTTGCAGATTTCCCAGTAATAAATATTGGTCAAATCTGTCCTGCTGCACTTTTTACATTATTCGGATTATTTTCCTCATATTTGTTGCCATATTTATTACAACGTTTCAGCCGTTGTAAGCTCCGGTCTTCTTCAAGTGGTTGGAATGTCGAACTGAACCTTTTATTTCGCTCGCTGGGGTAGACTGTTCTAGTCCCACGTGTCATGTGTAATGGATGTCAGTTATCAGTTATCTCCTGTTTCTCCAAGTTCTCTATTGCCTTTACTAGGTATTGAACTCACAACTCTTTGGGTCCTGTTACTAGATCTAACCAACGCCTTTATTCACTGTGCCATGTGTCCTTAAGGACTTGGAGAGATGAAGTCTTTGATCACGATGTCTGGGCAATTACATTTGATTGGTCTGTCTGGGTGTATTGTAAAGTCCCATATAAGTTTTACAAGTCCCTATCTCTGTTACCGGGTTTGGGTGGTGTTCATATCAATTTCTTGCAGTTTCCTTTCCGTAAAAATTGCAGATTTTCTAATGCGGATATTGACACATTTTATCATGCCCATTTTTATATTCAGCGGGTGCCAATACTGTGCAACTTATTACAATATGGTCAATACCTTCTGGTTATTTATCACAGAATCTGCATTTTGGGCTAACACAATTTTTCAGTATTGTTTGGTAATTTCTGGTTAGCAAGCATTGGTCCTATGCAGCAAGAATAAAACTTTAACCTTGCGCTAAGTAACCACTGATGGGTACGGGGTTTCGGTAATTATCTGGCCTGTTTTACCTTCTTTTGTGGTAATAGCAGATCCGGTAATCTCCCTTAGACTGGGTGATCGGTTTTAGTTGAGTTTATACTGTCAAAATATAGCCGCTTGCGCAGTTCCGTTTCTATGTTCTTTCCTACCTAGTGATGACTATATTTATATTTCTTCTCGGACAATTTGCTAAACTCCCGTTCGGTTTTTATTCCCACGTAGCTTACAATTGCTTTCGCCGATGTTTTATCTTATTCGGCGTCTTACATCATTTTTCTTTCTAAAAAAATTTCAGAAATCTCTTCCGGTCAAAAGAGTATCAGCGTATACAAGAAAGATAGCTCATATCCGATTTCTACAACAAGAGTTGCTGTCGTTACAGTGAAAGCACTTTTGCAAAATTTGATTGACAATATGGAAAGTGCACTTGGCGTATCCAGCAATATTATGGAAAGCAATCAAGAAACTACCGAAAAACGTTTGACAAGTGAGTCAATTTCTACGATTTGTAATATAACACACAAACACACGCACCACACACCACAATCTGGCCTCCGGCGGAAAGATGTGAAACCTAAAAAAATACGATGAACAGATTAACCAAGAGATTGTAGGAATTGTCCTCTTAATAGTGAATGCCTAGTGAAAACGTCATATATAATCTAGAGTAAAACTCTGAGAAAGTGTAATCAATTTTACAGAGGAAAGATTAAAAAAATGATTTTACAGTGATAAAAAGTCCTTAAACTTGGATAAAATATAAAAATAGTACTCGTTTTGCGATCAATATCTAGAAAAATAATACAAAAATAAAATAAAATAAAATAAATATAAAACGTGTTATAATGAAAATGACCCACAGGTTTTTCTTCGGAGGCAAAGTTTGCAGACTATACCAGAAGATTGTGTTGGTATTTATAATAGACAAGAACGACATGCCAAACGATAAAAATCCTGTCAATGAATCGCTAGCTGACTTGGTGGTTAATCCCCAAAAGGGGCTGGCTATTTATTTGGGGTGTATTGTTACCTAGAGAAGAATCCTGTAGCCACATGACAAACAAGGATTTGATTATCAAAGTTTATTTTATCCGAAGATAGTATATAATAAGGAAACGTGTCTCTGTAGCAGTATACGATGTCCCACCTATGTGTCAAGGGAACACTTAGGTGTATATCGAATGCAATTTGGCCACAAGTTGGTGTTTTTTCTGATCCTATGCGTAGAGAATGCAGATTCAACAATCGGTTAACCTTCACTGACGATCCCAACGACCTGGATGTAGAGAGGCGGAAACTTTTGCTCATTGTGACCGGTAGGAAAGCAACATGTGGAGTGAAAGGCGAGACTGCTCACCGCGCCATCAGATGTCCCGAGATGACCAGAATACAACGGTGGTTGGAGCCAATAGTACATTGAAGAATGCTGTCAGGACAAAGTCGCCCGAACGTCGGAGGCTTTTCACTCGATGGCTCTATTTGAGTTGTGCCAAAGGTCGATGGCACAGTCAGCGGGTGTCTTTCACTGACCATATTTAATCCAATTAACCAACCGTAACTTTCTGGTTGGCGAGTTTGATAACTTGAGAATCGGAGTCTCGAATAGCAAGACTCATAGGCGTATATATCTTCAGCATCTCGTGGGGAGATCTCTGTTGTATTCAAGAGATCAATCTTCTTCTGATAACCATGCGAGAGGCATTTCTTGGCTAGTGAGCTGTTCTTTGATGTTGAAGTTTACATTTCTTTTCGTAGATCTGGTGGGCTGAATTCGTGCCCTCCATGTGACCATAAACGATAAGGCACTTCGCTCAATGACCATACGTAACAGACTGGCGTTTTCGGTGGGTCTGACCATTTTTGACGACGTCTCGGTTGATAGTCTGGCCGGTTCTTAGAACGCCGCCCAATATAGAAAGGGGGTTTAAAAATACAGACATGAAACCAATTCATAATTCTATCGAGATGTATGATTTCGTCGATAGGTTTAGAAATGAGCACTCCCAGAAAGTAGTGTGGACTTTGACTAATAGGGGAAGACATGATACGGTGGTGCATTTTAACTAAGTCAACCTGGTGTTAGTCAAGAATTTCGATGTAGAGCTTAAGGTATCCAAGTTTTTATTCGATAGATTACAGGAATCCTAGGCCTGTCCAGGTTCGTGTGAACTTAGACAAGCCTAAGCTTAGAACGATTGTTTATTGGAAATTAAAAATATCGTTTTTGGATGAGGAGGATTTCCGGGAAAAGAATTGATTTGGGCTGTGGTTTAGAATACATTGCAAGAACATCTTAAACTCTTCATGAGTTTGGTGCTGACATTTACAGGTAAGTTCACTGTCATCAATTCATCACAGGAAAGGTCTACGCCATCAAATCACCGCGGTGAAAATTCACCGAAATGAAGGTTCACCGCTCGGAAAGTTCACCGTGAGTAGGTTGTACCACGCGGAAACTTCATCGTATAAATTCATTAGATATATACTATATTCATATATTAATTTCAAAATTATTAATTATAAAATCTAATGAATTCACACGGTGAAGTTAAACTTTTCTCACGGCAAACTTTCTTCATGGTAAACCTTCCTCGAGGTGAATTGATGGCGATGAACTTTACTGTGGTGAATTGATGACAGGTAGTTTTAATCATTAAATTAATGAAATTAAAAACTAATTTCAATTATTATTTTTCTTTTGTTATATTTCAAAATTATTTTAGATACGTTGATCAATAGAATTTGAATACGTTAAATATTGTTTAGTGTTTATCCGTTTACGGTGGAGATTTTTCTCAGTGAAATTTTCTCATGGTGAACTTTTTTCTTGGTGAACTTTTCTCGTAGTGAATTTTTCTCACGGTGAAGATTCTTCCCGGTGAAATTTCCCCGCTGTGAACTTTCCTCGCGGTGAACTTTTCTCACGATAAACTTTTCTCCCGGTGAACTTTCCTCACGGTGAACTATTCCCACAGAAAACTTTCCTTGCAGTGAATTTTTCTCACGTTGAAGTTTCTTCACGGTGAACTTAACCCGTGGTGAACTTCTCCGCGGGGAAAGTTCACCGCGGGGAAGAACTTTCCTCATGGTGACCTTTCCGCACAATGAGCTTTCCTCGCGGTGAGCTTTCCTTGTGATGACTTTCCTCGAGGTGAATATTTAACACGGTGAAATTTCTCTGCGGTGAACTTTCCCCGTGGTGAACTTTTCTCATGGCGAACCTTCATCGCGATGAACTTTTCTCATGGTTAATTAATGACGGTCAAATTACTGGACACGGGTACTTGACTTTAGTTTTTGACTCAACCAAAATTTTTGTGTAATAGAAAAAAAAAAGGAATCTTTTCTAATATAATCATTCTATTCTTTTTCAGCTGTATTTGAAATAGGATTTAATTTTAATCCATTTCATAAAGCATCTGACGATACATTGAAAATATTTGCCAAACAAATCCATCAGATGTACGACAAATCGGTAAGGTTGAGATATTTTATAAAAAATACAACAATATAATGATTTCTTCATGAAAAAATGCAAGAATATTTCAGTGTCACCCATTTTTTTTGGTCGGCCGGGGGGACACAAAATATTAAGAACTATCAGTATTTGTGAAAATATCAAGCATTTTTATTTAAAATTTTCGATGTATCATATTTAATGATACCAAAAGCTCCTTACGAGTTCCACGACCATAAAATACCCATAAAAACCACCTATTGCAACGTTACATATTTGGTTTCAAAATTCAAAATTGACAAGATTTCCATTTCACTGAAGCAGACGTTAAATATACTAGAGCGTTATTGCTTTCTCTATTTTCTCTTTCTTTCTTTCTTTCTTTCTTTCTTTCTTATTATGCATGTTTTTGTTTCTCGCTAAAAGAAAACAGTATCTTTTTTTCTTCTGTCTTTTCTTCCATTATTTATCTGCGGTAATGAAAGAGCGTAACACACTTATTGACTTATCAAAATATAAAGGGAATTACAATATGATCTTTTCATATGAAAACCATCTAAATAATTTTGCTTGATTTTCAATATGAGAAATTATCAATATACCTAGATTTATTCGAATCATAGTTCTCATATTGTTATAAACACAACATTTCGGTCAAGTATCATTTGGTCTTCTTCAGATGTCTATTATTTTGACTGATATGGAATATCATGTGTGCTGATTAGACACTGATAGTTGTTCATTATTGCTGAACAGGTGTATTTTATTTAATTATTTGATCCATTAATTGAATCCAAGATAACGAAATGATAGCAACCAAAGTTCATATAATTATGGGGATTTTTTAAGCGTAGTGGCACACGGTTGAAAGTATGGAGCACCCTGTAAGGATCGAACTCACTACTCAGTCGTAACTGATCAAGGGAGACAAGCTTGTTAAACATTACACCACATCGAAATTCCCAAGTTTATATTTTTATGTTGATTAAACAAAGTCTCTATACACTACACCATCGCTCCCAAAAGACATTGTAAGCAATAATAAGGAAAACTTAAAATCTTTTTTTTTTTTGACTCGTCACGAGGGTTTCTGACCGCTTGTTTGAGAATCATTGTTTTGGTTTTAGAGATGAAGAATTGTCACTATACTTTCAATTATTCGATTTAGTCAAACTTTCTATTTTTTAATTATAATAGACACGAAGCTTCGGTCATGTGATCTTTAGCTATCTTCAAGAATTCATCATTATTTTTTTTTATTTTAGAGATGAGGAAAGTTCAATATACTTTGACATTCGATTTATTCGATCTTTTTTTTTTCTCATTTGGATTATAATAGATGTTATAGATATGGTGTTTCGGCCAAGTACTCTCTGGCGATTTTCAGATCGCTAGATGATATTGAATGTAAAGGCTCCAAACAGGATACCACCGATAGCTAGATTGATACTTTACCCTCCATCAGACAAGCGTCTATATACCTATACCTCTAGATAAATATAGAATTCAGAGAGTTCAGAGAGAGAGAGAAAGAGAGAGAGAGAGAAAGGGAGAGAGAGAGAAAGGGAGAGAGAGAGAGAGTTCAGAGAGTTCAGAGAGAGAGAGAGTTCAGAGAGTTCAGAGAGAGAGAGAGAAAGAGAGAGAGAAAACTACTGCATAAAAAAAGAATCATTTAACGACTGGGTTTCGTTTCAACGGCCTGGTCACTAAGCGAGTCAGTCACTAAGTAAAGTTATATCTGACCCCTATTTCAGACACGCTATAAAAATGTAAAAAACATAAAAATGTATAAAAAAAGATTATCAAAGTTACAAAAAGAAATACTGAAAAGTTAGGCATGTTATTTTTCATTTTTATTTTATGAGATATTAATATCGGGTCTAATGTCCAGGATTGTTAAAGTCGTTAAGCGATGAGTTTCTGTAATGATAATACATCATCCCAGGAGTTCAGGTAGGAAGATCCTCTTCACAGAACTATTGTTATTGATGTTTTTAAACTTGGATGATTAAGATTTAGTTAAAAGAAAGAACGAATCATCAATGTCTACTTAGAAAATTAATATCGCATATATGATGGAGATGAATATAACAATGGCATATAGGAAGAAAATATAACGATATCGACATAATGCGTCACTGTTTTCTTTACAGTTGCAGGGTGAAGAAAAAAGAGACAGCGGTTTTGCCCAGGAGTACAAATGTAATGGTAGGTATGCTCCTTCTGATGTTAATCATTCGGACAAAGGAGATGAGAGAAAATATATAAATTTAAATATTCTTTCTATGCATCTTCTTCTACGTACGGTGCTGCTTCAGGATATTGGTGATCAAAACTGTCCACAATTTTCTATTATTTGTAGCTCTCAACTTTTAATGAGTTATCAGTTTACAACCAAAACCGGTGTAACTTAAAATCTTTCGCTTTCACATAAAACTCTCCCAAATCAACACACGGATAACTACGAAACAGGCGAATGCTTAGTTAACGCACAGAAACGAGTACACATACGAATGATACAAATACACGCATGAATTATACACACAAACGCTGCTTGACAGGACAGATACACATGAAGTCTGCTTAACCAATGAAAGACAAACAACACAAAAAATCGAAATATTAGAATTTTTCTTGTCCATAGTACATTGTCTGATGAAGCTTTTAAAAAGCGAAATGTGTAAAATTTGTAAACGCTTCCTATTTGTTCTTTAATCTAACTTAATATTAAAATAATTATAATAATTATTTTAATATTCTAACTCAATTTGACTCCAATGTGTGTATATATATATATATATATATATATATATATATATATATATATATATTTTTATACATACATACATACATATATATATATATATATATATATATATATATATATATATATATATATATATATATATATTATGGACGAAGTCCGACAATTATTTTAAGACATTTTATGTTTATACGTTCTTTTATAGATACAAGTATTTAAATAAATGCTCTGTTTATAATAAACAGTATTAAACAACCTTTACCGGCCTGAATATTTTCTGTGAAAATTTCTCGGACATTCAGGCCAGTAAAGGTTGTTTAATACTGTTTATTATAAACAGAGCATTTACTTAAATATTTGTATCTATAAAAAAGAACGTATAAACATAAAATATATATATATATATATATATATATATATATATATATATATATATATTTACGAGGTGGTATCAAAAATTCCTGGACTAGTTATGTTTAATATATATATATATATATATATATATATATATATATATATATATATAAATAAAAAAAAAAGAAGAACAGTAAGATATAAAATCCGGTGTTCTTATAGATATTTTTATTTTTACAAAATAGTGCTCAATGTAAATTTACAGAGCATTAATATTATAAATTGAAACATGGTTGGAACTGTGTAGCGAAAAAAACCATATTTTAAATCAATTAATTTATAATATATACATACATATATATATATATATATATATATATATATATCTAAATTTAACATCGTCTTTGAAATAGTCAGCTTGTTCATCAATACACAGGTGCCGGCAATTCTGCTTCTTTGGAATAGGCCCTGACGTCGTTTTCCATGAGATGATGACCTTCTGCGATTCGTTCTGGATCTCGGCAGCGTTGTTAAAACAACGAGACCTTTGGGCGACATTTCAGGTTGGAGATAAGATGAAGTCCGCATGAGCTAAATCTGGCGAAGAGAGCGGGTGTGGAAACGATACAATGTTGTTTTTGAAACATACACATAACGCACACTGAAAAATCAAACTGAAAAAAAAAAATAAACTCATCCTTGATAATGGCTAAAAGTATAGACGAAAGCGCTCGGAACTATAGAACATTTGGACAGTTTCTATTCACTCTGTGTCCAGAAAAGAATCTCTTGATTGAACGCAAGGAAAACTAAATAAAAAAGCTTAGCCGTAATACCTTGTCTGTCGTTTTTAATGAAATATGCTAATATATATATATATATATATATATATATATATATATATATATATATATATATATATATATATATATATGTTTGTGTATATATATATTGTGCAATCCCTCTTTCATGCACATTTCATTGAATACGACAGACAAGGTCCTTTTATTTAGTTTTTTATACAATTTCTTATGAGATCTAATAATTTTTTTTTTTTCTTTTTGGATGATAAATTATATAAAAACTGTTCGAATGTTCTTTTTTTCGAGCGCTTTCGGCTATACATTTAACCATTTTCAAGGATTAAATATTTTAACTGTTAATAAAGAAATAGTCTGTTGTATGTATGTTTTATAAAATGTTTTCATTTTTCAAAACACGGTCAGTGTCCATGTTCAAAGTTAATATTACTAAGTGTTGGTTCTTTGCTTTTTATTAATAAGGCTTCCATTATTTTTAGCCTTTTATTTTTCTTATTTAACAGTTAAAATATTTAATTCATTGAAAATGGCTAAGTTTATAGCCGAAAGAAGCTCGGATAAAAAAGAATATTCGGACAGTTTTTATATAATTTATCATCCAAAAAGAAAAAAAATATTAGATCCCTTGAGAAATTGTATAAAAAATAAATAAATAAAAGCACCTTGTCTTTTCGTATTCCATGAAATGTGCATATATATATATATATATATATATATATATATATATATATATATATATATATCGTTTAATAAAAGGCGGGAAAGTGAGGATTGAGAGATTCAGTCGAGATATTACAGCAGTACTTTATTTGTCTCTTGTAAAGCAGGAATCATGTACTTTTTGCAGTGTTACGAGGAACGGGCCATTTTTTTTAGTATCTTTAGAAATGAATCATATATATGAGATCCAGGATTGGTCTTGAGGGGGACTTGATATTTAAGGCAAAGGGCCTCATTGCGAGTACCACCGTTCCGCATGGGTGGAAAATATTCAGGGGTTGCTCGGTGATAATGTAATGCTACTAGTTTGGTTTTGGAGGTCTTAGCCCTTTTGTCATTTAGGAAGATATGGAAGGTCATTTAGCAATTCAGCGGCTGATTCAGGTATAAATTCTTGTGAAGAATTTTCGTAGACTGCAAGTTTCATTGAACATTATTTGTCTCTCTTACAAAACTTAGAAAGTTAGATATTTTCTTATTAACATCAGGAAGAGACGGTTGAAATTTCTAGGGCACGTAATGAGAGAGGAGAGCTTGAAAAATCTGGACAGATTGAAGGAAAGAGAGACAGAGGAAAGCAGCGTGCAACATTCTTGACGGATGGTAGAACACGGTTTAAGAAAAATAACAAAACGACAAAACTTATTAACCGCTATAAAGGACAGGAGGATGTGGAGAGCCATGATCGCCTACTTGCTGAATGGACAGAGCACATAAAAGAAAAAAAGTAGTGTCGTAATTCCTTAGGTCGTTGGAGCATGAAATTTACTGCAGCCATAGCAGCAGTAGAGTGTCTTGGGCAAGATAACCCGACAGAGACCATTTTTATACAGGTTGATTTTGAATCCAGAGGTTTCATTCTTTTAGACAAGTTGTCACATCAAAGCAAGAGAGTCCAGTTAGCTCTGTTATTTAACCTATAGTTTGAGGGGTGTGAGAAAAATGGATTCATATATTTCCCAAGAGTATATTTGAGAAACTGAATACAACGAACTCGGCTGGAAATCGAACTTATGGCTCACCGATTTCCATTTTTCGCTCGTTAACCGTTACACTACCTACACACCCAGAGTAATGATTATCTTGTTACAAAGAATTACTTAAATATTTATTCCGCTTTTTTTCTTTTAAAGACACATTTACGCGCATGGAAGGAATGGAGTTTTCATTACCTGAACTTCCTGTCCGGATTCGTGGTGAGTATTTGATTTTCAAATGAAGCTATTAAATGTGCATTGTAAAGACTGGCATAATGTCATAGCAGTGGATAATCTGTGTGGGTCAAATTAAATATACTTATTGATTGAGAAGAAGGATTTGGTTTGGTTTGTTTTATGGCATATCAACCTCAATGAGTTATTTAATGCCGCCAAAATTTTTATTGCTGGTAATTTTTCTTTTTTTCAAAAATGTATTTCTGGTAATATTTTTTCGTCAAAAATGTATTGCTGGTAATAATGTTTTTTACAAAGTATTTCTGTTATTAAAACCTATTTTTATACTATCATTGTGTTTTGAGTCAGGTTGGTGGGTCAACTATTAGCCCATAGCTGGAACCCTAACAGGTGCTACCACCCCGGGTAAGGGCGGACCTAGGAACACCAGCAATTAAGAGGTGGTTCCATGCTCCTCAAAACCTCTTGATCAGAGGCCTTGCTGCCGAATGTAGTTTATCGTCTTACCCAGGACATGGATGTAGTTTATCGTCATATCCAGGACGGAAGAGAAGGATAAATAACGATTGATCGTTGAAAAGGTTAAAATTGTAGGGAAGCATATACAAAGTGGGGGATCACCCATATAGGTACTTCCCTAAACTGTAAAATCTTAACCTCTTCAAGTCAAGGATCAATCGGTATCTATCCTCCTTATTTCCATAATCTTCTTAACACCTCTTCTTTCAGTCATATAGTACGACTAAATCTCAAGATTGTAGGGAGTTCTCCAATGGGGTTACTTACTAAATACTACAATCTTAACCTCTTGAAGTCAAGGATCAATTGTTTTCTGTTCTCCTTAATCTTTCTAATACCTCATCTCTCAGTCATATCTCACACCTCAATCTTCATAACAATTTTAACAGTAACCCTCTACAGTACAAACTTAATCCATTCAAGTCAATCGCCCTGGGTAAGACGACAGACTACATCGAATAGCAAAATGTCTGATCAGGAAGTTTTGAGAAACGTGGAACCACCTCTTAATTGCTGGTGTTAGCTAGGTCCACTCTGATCCAGGCCTGTTAGGGCCTAGTTATGGGTAAATAGTTAACCCCCAAACTGGGGTCAAAACGTGTAAAAATAGGTTTTAAAACCAGCAATAAATTTTTGTCAAAAATTATTACCAGCAATAAAGTTTTGAAGAAAAAAATGATTACCAGTAAAACATTATTACCAGAAATACCGTTCTGAAAGAATATTACTAAAAATACTTTCTGAAAAAATATTAACAGCAATAAAAAATGTTGTTAGCATTAAATAACTCATTGATGTTGATACGCTATAAAACAAACCAAACCAAACAAAACCTCAAGGGTCAATCATTATCTATCCTTTAATCTTTACATCCTGTAATCTTTACACCGTAGCATCTTCTCTTATAATCATATCACAATAATCAATCATCATAACCATTTTATCTGTAGCCCGCTACATTATAATCTTGACTTCTTGATGTCAAGAGTCAATCGTTAACTTTTAATCTTTACTTCCTGTAATCTTTACATCGTAGTTTTTGTACTAAATGCGGAAATTGCAATGCGTGAATGGGTCGTGAATCTGATTAGCCAGGTATAAAATAGCTAGTGAAGACCAGCCTCCACCCCTTCCCAATTTCGGCCTTGTGTCATAATTCTGTAATTTTCACAATAAATCTACAAGAAGACGCAAGAAGGCAGCCATGTTAGCAGGTAAGTAATTTGACTTCTACATAACCCATTGATGTTGATACGCTGTAAAACAAACCAAACCTTCAAGGCAAGGGCCAATCGTAATCTATCCTCCTTATTCTCATACTCTTTACATCGTAGCACCTTTTCATTCAATCATATCACAAAACTCAATCATCATAACCATTTAAAAAGTAATCCTCTTCATGTCAAGGGTCAATCGTAATCTATCCATCTTATATTCATACTCTTTACATCGTAGCACCTTTTCATTCAATCATATCACAAAACCCAAACATCATAACCATTTTAAGAGTAATCCTCTTTATGTCAAGTGTCAATCGTAATCTATCCATCTTATATTCATAATATCCACTTCCTAACGCCTACTGTTTCAATCATATCCCACGCCTCTTTCATTATTATCGTTTTTAAAGCTCTACCTTGAGAACCTTGTGCTTTGTATTGGAGGAAGTAGTAAAACAAAGACAATTTCTTCGCAGATGAAAAGGACAACAGAAATGTGCTTCTACAGGAGAACCATGTGAATACCATGAACGGAACGTGTTAGCAACGAAAACGTTTCCAGCAAAATGGAAAAAAAGGGTCCCTTACACGTAGAATCAGTCGAATGTCTCGGATGCATGACGAGGAAGGCGGGCTTGGGGAAGTTAACACTCGCAGGAAGGCGAAAGGGACAGCGGGGGGCAATAGGTCACAAGGAGTGGGAGAGGTTTTAAAAAGGCAGGGATACAAAGGTGTGGTGAGCCATAATCCTGAAGAGAAATTGTGGAGAGCCATGATCGCACACTTCCTGAAGGGAAACAGCAGA